GGTTATTTTAATTTAAATCCCGACGCACGAATGATGTTTTAGTATTTGTTTACCGCGAAGGACCCCGCGAACGTAAACTATAACCTTCAAATGCTATATGGAACTGCTCTAAACATTCAAGCACAATGAAAAGCAAAGGACACTGAGATGACAATGATCGCCAGCACATCTCACAAACTACGCTTCCCCCGACGAGATATCTTTCTAACTGAACTTATATATTACTCGGCTTGCAGTGTTTGAGAGAACAGCTTTTCTGATATCCTAGCATGGAATACAGGAATATAGCAAGACCAGTCTTATACCACAACACTTGGTAGTTTCATAACACGCTATCATATTCAGCATATCATGATCATGGTCTATAAATAGCCTGGGGCTAATATCATATACTGACATCCACTATCAGGAAACGATGCTATTGGTTAACTTCGTGTCAACCATCGCACTTGTTTCGAAGTTCACGAATTAACGATATGCAAATCTGATCAAAGTTTAGACATGAAGGAACAAGCAAGCTCAAAATGGTAAATTTTAGGGTTACGTTTTCCAACTACTCTATTTTAGTCCTCGGGATCCATGTTTTGGATTGAGTGGACAAAAACTCATGCGAACACTTTTTCCAAAGAAACGGTTTGAAGGTAATATTTTGATGGTTAAATTATATCTTAGCTTTAGTTAATTTATGAATTCTATTTTGTATCTTTGTCTCGCTTCTTGCACAAAAATCCACTTTGTTGTCCTAACTGCTGTTCGTTCTGTACTTCAAGGGGTTTCTTCGTGTTCTTCGGCTCAGTCTCAACTTCTAAACTCCAATTTAATGGTGGAATTTTTTTCCAAACTATGCGAAAATGTAAAAAATCTTTTCATTGGGATATTATTATTAATTAGTAATATCAATAGACTTCGACTTCATATATTACAATGTTAGTTTTAATCATTCAGTTTAGATAAAAGCTCAGCACTAAAAATTCTACACTTACAATATATGAAAGTGCTAACTGCTTTGCACTAAAATTACAATCTGTCAAAATACAAATCCTTCAGACTAAAACAAGATATACGCCAACTGTTAAATCTACCAAACACATCTTATATGCATCGATCTCCATAGGTGACTTGAAAAAAGTCCAGGCACAACCATATCATGTAGAACTTTGTGAGTCAACAGAATAACTTCAAAAATAATACGCAGATCCTA